ACATTCTGTTTGGTCACCTTTCTTTGGGATAGGAACAAATATCGATCTCTTCCAGTCAGTTGGCCAAGTGGTTGTTCTCCAGATTTCTTGGCCCAACTTGGTGAGCACGTCCATGGCAACATCTGTTAACTGAAATATGTTAATTGGTATACCATCTATTCCTGGAGCCTTAATTTTTGCCATACAAGATGAAATATTTGGGAACATCCTTAACTAGATATATAAAAGACTTTTATAATGAAAACTGCAAAATTCTACCATAAGAAACAATGAGATCTAACGAAATGGAAAAATATGCCTTGTTTATAGATAGGAAGACTCCATAAAATAAAAATTATAATCCTACCAAAAGCAATTTACTTATTCAGTGAAATCCCCATACAAATACCAAATTTATTTTCAAAGAGGTAATAATGGTAATTGGCCAATTTATTTAGAAAGGAAAGAGAAACCAAATAAGCAAAGCTATTCTGAAAAAGAAAAACTAAGTGGGAGGCATAGCTCACTCCCTGATCTCAAAATACACCACACATCTGTAGTAACCAAAGCAACATGGTATTTGTACAATGGCAGGTGCATAGAGCAATGGAATGGAATAGACAACTCAGAAATCAATACACCTACCTAAAGTCATTTGTTATTTGTCTATTCCTGTTCCAAGGAATGGGCATTGAACAAATAGGGAAATGATAGTCTCTTCAACAATTGATGCTGACAAAACTGGATGTCTACGTGCAGAAAAACTGAAACAGGATCAGGATCCACATCTCATCCCATACACAAAAATCTACTCAAGATGGATCAAAGACCTTGGGGTAAAGCCTAAAACCATAAGGATAGTAAGAAACAAAATTAGACCAAACTTAGAAGCCCTAGACTCTGGCTTAAATAGGCTTGTAAATAAAGCCAGATATTTACAACCAGGAGAGGACAAAATTAACCATTGGAATTTTAAAAAAATCAAGTCTTTGTGTGCATCAAACGCTTTTTCCAGTAGGGTGAAAGAAAGTCTAAAGACTGGGGCGGGGGGGAGCAGAGAACCAACCAAATCATTTGACCATGACATCTCAGACAAAGGTCTTACAATAAAAGTTTATAGAATACTACAGGGCTTCCACAAAAACATTACTGATAACAAAATGAGCAAAAGACATGAAAAGACTTTTCACAAAGGAAGACATTTGGACAGCCAACAGACAAATAAAGATTGAAAATCACTGGCATTCAGAAAGATGAAAATAAAAACAACAATAATATATTATCGTATTCTAGTAGCAGTAGCAAAATTTAACAGGTCAGCAAGCCATTGATATTGGAGAGGATATTGGAGAGATTGGAGGAGATCTCATCCACTGCTAGTGGAATTGTAAAATGGTATAATCACTCTGGAAGTCAGTTTGGCATTTCCCCAAAAAGCTGAACATAAAATCCCATATGACCCAGCTATTCCACTGGCAGGAATATACCCACGGAAATGAGAACTGAGACATGAATGGAGTTACGTACATCTATGTTCACAGCAGCATTATTTACAACACCAAGAGCATGGAAATAGGTCAAATGATTATCAACTAACAAATGGATTTTAATTGTGGTACATTCATACAATGAA